CTATTGCTTGTTTCATGGTTAACTCTTGTCTCTCAATTTTGACTGCTTGGTTAAATTTGATCTTGATTCTTGGTGAATGCCGTTTTGTTGCTGAAATTTTTGAGGCGTTCTACCTTGCACACTTATGTTCTAGTATTCTTCCAAGCATTCATATTTTCCACTGATTTTATTCTGGTGCAATTCTTGAGATTCTTATATGTCTTTTAATGGGTCTAGCTTTTAACTCTTGTTAATTGCTAAAATCTGTCTCTTGATTCCAGTTGTTTTGTTAAACATGATTTTACTTATTAGTTAACCTTGTTCCGACCCTTATGCATTTGTGGGACCCTTTCACAAGTGCACGGCGTTTGTTACGCCTCGGATTTGGGTTCTAGGGCGTGACATCAGTGAAACTCCATTTTTAACAATAAGGGGTATGTTGCTAAAAAGGATGCTATGAATTAGAAATGTGAGCCTTGTTGCTGATGTATTACCAACCATAGCTTCTCCAACAAAGGCATCAGCAACATGGTTCATGTTGCTAAAGTGGGATGCACTTTCATCGATGTGCTCCCATGTTGATGCAAAATGGATTTTTAGTAGTGTAAGTGTGAGAACCAAGACTTAAATCATAGGCCGAATGTATAAGATAACACTTATTTATCACAACGAATCTAACCCTTGTAATGATTGACTGTTATAAGTTAATAACCATATGTTATGGATGTAATATCTTAGATTTATTTAAATATCTCATTTCCATTTTAGTCCCCTCAAGGGCGTAGATGAAATAGAGTGAAAATGTGAGGATTTAAGTATTAATATATCTTAATTTGGGACTACTTTTTGAAATTGCATTAAAAATAGTTAAATATTTAGAGGATAAAACGTGTTTTCCAATTTTATTTACCACCTATCTCCTAAAGCGACCTCTAAGCGAGCACTTAACTCCGAAAGGATTTCTAGCTAACCTGAATTCAACCCAAGGTAAGATTGTGCTTCATATGGGTTCTTATTCATATATAGCGTTTCGGGGTCTGAGGTTGAGTGTAGGAATTTAATTTTAAGATCAATTGTTTAGTTGTTGGATTATGAATAATTTGGTGCATAGAGAAGTCTGTTCAACTTTAATTTCATGATTTTGGCGTGAGGAATGATTACAGCGCCAAAGCCATGATTTGAGATTTCTTTGCCTTGCAAATTATTTTGATTTTATTGGGATGTGTAATTGACGAGTGGGGTTTAGCGGTTTTGGCGGAATGTGATGCAGCAATTAAGGAGATTTTTTCTTTCATGTGTTATACAATAAAGAATATATTTTTTTTCTCTAAACTTTTTTTTATCTATCTCACTATTCATATTTAAGATTTTTAATATAGAGATTAAGTTGTTAACTATTAAAACATGCAACATGTGCTTACTAATTTGAGGAAATGTGATGAGTTAGGATTTGAATTTTGGGACTGTTGAGCAATAATTGACGGATTTTTTTGAACAAATTATATCCTGTGGGTTTGTATTTAAAAAAAAATTAGGGCTTAAGATGTGCTTAGCTAGATGAATTGTAATCAAGGCAAGATATGAGTGAATGGAGGTGGACAGAGTAGCCACACTTTACTTGAGTTATGGGACCCAAATAGGTCTAAATTGCAAAGTTGAGGGACCACATTTTAACCTTAGAGGAGATAATGGGGCACGGTTCAGCGCGTTAATTTCACCAAGTGCTAGAATGAAAACTCAAACCCTAAATATGAGGTACAAGACGATGTTTATTGGAGGAATATAGCTAGAAAATTTAGTTAGGGTAGGTAAAAATTATTATTGAAGATTTGAGTTTTTAAGAGTATCTTTCATGATATCAATTCATTTTCTTTTAAATCTTCTTTCTTTTATGAAAAAATTCACTTGTGATCTTTTTCATTGATATATTCTTAATAAAAATTAGAAATAAATTTATTTATTATAATAAAAAATAAAATATCACTATAATAAATCATACAACGATTAATTAAAGAATGAATTAAAAAAATGTGTTTGTTAATAGAATATCTAAAGAATTAAGAGGGAAAATATTATAAAATTATATTGTTTTAATAAAATCGCTTTAAAAAAACAAAAACAATATATTCTTAAAGTAAAAATGAAAGTGTTTTAATATTATTAAAATAATGTAATTTGGAGGTATTTTCTTTCTAATTTTTTAAAAGTCACGTTGATAAATACTAATCTTATAAAAAATAGTAAAATATTAAAAAATAGTAGAATATTTCTTTTAAAAAGTGCACTTTAACTTTTATTGATTTAACATAAAAATTAATTATAAATTCAATCGTGAAAAGTAAAAATATACCTCAATGCCATTAAAAAAACTTTAAATTATTATTTAAAATATTAAGAAAGAAAATAAAGAATACTAAAGAAAAATGTGACTTTAGAGTTGATTAAATAGTGAATTACAGTTTTCTTTTTCAAGACTTAATTGATGAGGAAATGTTTAAAAACCTCAATTCCTAATTAATTAAATTATCACAAAGTTCATTTTATTTAAATCATATCCTTTTTTAACTTATTATTTAAATTTTAAAAATTTTCTCTACATTTGAAACGATTTTTAAAATTCATACTATAAAAATAAAATTATTAACAAATAAAAGTTAGAGTACCGTATTAAATGTTTTTCAAAAGTTTAGGGGGCCAGCTGCCCCCGTCCTTCACTGGCTCCGTCCCTCCCTGGTTATTGATCACAATAAATCCAACACTTGTAGTTATCTGTTGTTATCAGTTAATACCATTTGTTATTGACTATGAACTAACAAACTTTCTGATATTAGCTATCCAGTAAAAGCCTCGTTAAAACATAGATAAATCATTTGGCAGACAACGAGAACAAAGTTTACGTCATTTCTGCTAGACAATTATCCTATGTTAGATGGCCGGTACCATTTGATAGATTGACTTTTCTTGCCCATCAGAAAAAGTGAAATCCATGTTAGTTTGTTGACTTTCTTTCTTCAATAACCGTTTGACCTTCTTAACGTGCACAGACAGAACATGATCATCGTTTATAGTCAAACACAACTCCCTATATAATCAATATTAATTGTTTGATTTTCGTCATAAAAGCTGGTTGTTGAGTTAATTCTCATCTGTCCTTGAATATATAAGAAGAGTTTTTTAATTTATTTATTTAGATTTGACTAATTTATATTTTTAAAGATATAAATTAAAGTTATATTAAATATAATTTTTTTTATAAATTTATATTAAAAAAATAAAAATTAACATTTAATTTATCATTCGTCTAATTAAATTCATTTAATACCAGAATTAATATTGATTTTTACATTTTTTTATGTACCCTTATTTTTTTTTATATATATTAAGAATATAATTATTATATTTTTTTAACATAGTTGATATTAAAAAATAAAAAAAATTATATTAATTTTATTTCTATTACCATGCAAATAATTTTAATTGAATTTAAATAGATAATTAATTAAACAAATTAATGTCATCTTTGAAGAATGTGGGACTCTTTTGGCCAGTTACCGAGATTGATGTTTGATTTCTTTGAAGCTACACCTGCAATGGCAAACGGTCAGTTAGGTGAGGGTGGTGTGAATTAGCCAACATTTTCAATGTTGCTGTTCTTGCACAATCTATATGAGTTGGAATTTGGGAATTGTTTGCGTGGGTGGGGGAAAGTAGTTAAAACCATACAATTCTTGCTCTTATGGAGTTGTTGAAGTTTCGAATTATTTTAAAGATATGATTTGTATGTATATCTAGTTAACACCATGTAATTTTTCTTTTAGATCATTCAAACCATGTGCAATATGAATGCATTAGTATGATTGTAGATACTCGACTTTAAGTTAATTAAGTTAAGGATCCAGTTGCTCAATTTTAAAAGTTGAAGATGACACTGTAAACGACCTTAAAAGTTAGTTTAAAAAACAAGGGGGTTTGTCTCATTTTTTATGTAATTAATTTATATAAAAAATTATAAAAATTAACGTTTATTTTAATACTATTGACATATAAATCATTTTAATTAATTAAGTAATTAATTTAAAGTCAACACTTATATCTTTTATATAAATTAATTAAAAAAATATATTAATTGTATTTTTTAAACTATGCATTAAAAGCACATATTAAAAACACCCAAAACAAGGTCCTAACATGGGTACGGCATATGATAAGTGCATTTTTCTGTCATGAATATTATAGACTAATGTGAAAATTAATATTAATTTTAATATTGTTCACATATGAATAAATATAATTAGATAATTAATAAATTAAATATTAATTTTTATTTTCTTAACAAAAATTAACAATAAAAAAATATATTTATTATTATATTTTTAATATGTATTGGGAAGACACAAATTAAAAAAAAAAAAACTCAAAAAAACACTATCTATGAATGTACATTAGTATTTTTTTCAAACAAGGGAAAGACGGTCACCAATAATTCAACCTAACAACTCCTGTTTGCCAAGGTCGAAAATGAATGCTAGCCTTGCAATTTGCATAACTGGAAAGCAAGTGAAGGAAAAAACCTACTGTATTACATTTTCAATGACCCTGCAATAAATGCTAGCGGTGTGGGTAACCAATATGATACGGTCAACTTTTTTAATGCCTCCTATAAATATTGATCCCGGCAGCCCTCCACCACCACGAGACCCTTCATTTCTTCCTTTAACTTTTCATATCTCAAAGGATCCCAAAAGCTAGCCATGGTTTTCCCTATGGTGCTTCTGAAACAAGCAGACTGGGTCTTGTACCAGCTCCTAGCCAATTCATGTTTCAGAGCTGCAAGGAAGATGAGAAGCTATGGCTTCCTTTTGAGAAACCAAAGTCTCAAATCATCCTGCTTACAACCACAACCTTCTCCATTCCCTAGTGTGAACAAGTGTGATTTACAGAATAGAGGGTCAGATTCTCTGGTTTGTGACATTGATGGGGTTTTGTTAAGGTCAGAGTCATTTTTTCCTTATTTCATGCTTGTTGCTTTTGAAGGTGGTAGCATTTTCAGAGCATTTCTGCTGCTTTTGTTGAGTCCATTTTTATGGTTGTTGAAGTATGAAGTCCAGTTGAGGGTCATGATTTTTGTCACTTTTTGTGGGCTTAGGAGAAAGGATATTGAGAGTGTTGGTAGGGCTGTTTTGCCTAAGTTTTATCTTGAAAACATAAATCTCCATGCCTATGAAGTTTTGGCTTCGGCCGGTTCAAGGGTTATCTTTACAAGTATACCTAGAGTCATGGTGGAAGGATTTCTTAAGGACTACTTGAATGTTGTTAGTGTTGTGGGCACTGAACTGCACACTGCTGGGAACTTCTACACCGGTTTGGTCTCTGGCCCTGGCTTGCTCGTAAAACATAGAGCCTTGAAGGAATACTTTGGGGACAAAAAACCAAATATCGGCCTTGGAAATTCAAGCCTCCGTGACCACCTCTTCATCTCCATTTGCAAGGTAAAGCATTTCCTAAACTTGTATTTCTCAACATTCCACAAATTGGGAAACCTTAACTTGCAGTTTTACATCTATTTCCATTTAGAGAAACAAAAATTGCCTAATCTCGGTATCATTCCCACCTGAAAGTATTTCCTTTTATTGCACCACAACTTGTACAAGATCATAATTCATGTTTAATGGTACCCTGCAAGAGTTTCCTCTCTCTGCGAAACCATGTGCATTTACTATAAGTCTGCGGGCTAATATTAATTTGCATTCATTTCATGATTGGGACAGGAGGCCTATGTGGTTTGTAGTCTAAGCTCATCAATAATGCCAAGGGACAAGTATCCAAAGCCCTTAATTTTTCATGACGGAAGGCTCGCTTTTTTGCCAACTCCAGCTGCAACTATGTGTATGTTCATGTGGCTTCCGCTCGGTATAATTGTCGCAATCTTCAGAATTTCCGTGGGAATCTTGCTCCCTTACAAGTTAGCCGTTCTTTTAGGTGTGTGGAGCGGTATAGACCTTCACATCAAGGGCTGCACCAACAAAAACACCACCCCTGCATCAAAATCCAAAGGAGTTTTATATGTCTGTACCCACAGAACCCTTTTGGATCCTGTTTTCTTGAGCACATCTTTGGGGAAACCACTTACTGCTGTCACATATAGCTTAAGTAAAATGTCGGAGCTCATTGCTCCCATCAAAACGGTGAGGCTAACTAGGGACAGGAAACGCGATGGAGAAACCATGGAGAGGCTGCTGAGCCAAGGTGACTTGGTGGTGTGTCCAGAAGGAACCACATGCAGGGAACCTTACCTGTTGAGGTTCAGCTCCCTGTTTGCAGAGCTAGCGGATGAGATCGTTCCGGTGGCAATGAACACCCATGTGAGCATGTTCTACGGGACAACCGCAAGTGGGCTGAAATGTTTGGATCCCTTCTTCTTCTTCATGAACCGAAGACCCAGCTACCATGTTCATGTTCTTGGGAAGGTGCCCAAAGAGTTGACATGTGCAGGAGGGAGATCTAGCATTGAGGTGGCGAATTATATTCAGAGACAACTGGCTGACGCTTTAGGATTTGAGTGCACTACGCTTACAAGGAAGGACAAGTACATGATGCTGGCCGGTAATGAAGGGGTTGTCCATGAAAATAAGAAATGTTGAACTTGGTCGTAATTAATATTCATCATATTCCATCTTCCCTATTGATTATTAGCCATAGGATTTTCGACAAATATGGTAATTTATATATAATTTTATATCTCATGTGAGATTTATCCATTTATTGTTAATTACTTAAAGTAATACTCAGGTTTTTTTTTTTTTTTTTTTCAGATTGCAATTCCCTAAATAAATTCATTTTTTTATCAAGCAATTAATTGATAGGCGTTAAGGGTTCACAAACTTCTCATTCCAGCAGCTACTTAACTCATGTTATATAGTTCAGTATATTCACGCAACTCACAGGAACTGTGAACTCTTGATGCTGTTAAGCATGCTCGCATGGACTTGACACTAATTAAAAAGTACAACTACCAGACTTAATTTTATTAATATTTTTTTTATTGGCAAGCTAATACCCCTTTCATTTTTATTTATCTATCTACTATGTATACTTAATTTTCAATTAACTCTAGCATAATTTTAGTCATTACTTATAGCTAGATACGAAAAGATTACTGATAGTAGAGAATAACTACTAAAAATCACATCTTCCATTAAAAATGGAAAGAAAAATGATAATTCAGGGTTTGGGCCTCCATTTTCATCAGACTTGGGCATATCAACATATACATATACATATACACTAAAAAAAAATAAAAATAAATAAAAGTAAAAGAAAAGTAAGGTTTTAGGATATCTTTTTATCATAAATATATTTAAGAAAAATAAAAATGAACATTAATTTTAATGTAAGTGTTAAGTAAATTAATTTAATTAAATAAAGATTTATCTAATCTGTACCCTAAGTGTACAGATTAAACTTTATTAATTATAAAATTTATAATTAATTTTGTACAAATTTTCATATCATATTC